TATATGTTGATGATACAATATTTGGTTCCACTAATCCCTCTTTGTGTTTTTGGTTTGCTGAACACATGAAGAAAGAATATCAGATGAGCATGATGGGATAACTGACTTACTTTCTAGGTCTTCAGATTAAGAAATCATATAAAGGTATCTTTATCAGTCAAAGTAAGTATGTCAGAGATAGGCTCACAAAGTTTGATCTATCAAATAGCTCATCTATGAAGACTCCAATGGCTCCTCCTTTCTCACTAAATTGTGATAACCGAGTCTTGGTTATCACCTGAGGTAATAAATACGTGATTATTTGTTATATGATTACGTGAAAGCATGATAAATTGTAATATTTGATCATGCGAGTATGTGAATTTTATGCATAAATGTGTACGCATAATGTGAAAATACATGACAAAAATATGTTATGTACATAAAGTTGGATCATGCATGGTTTAATATGCATGGTATGTGAGTTTGCATACATTTTAAAATGGGTGCATGGGCATGCAAGTAAGGGGCTTTAGAGCTGCCTTATTCTTTTTGGAAAGGTATATAAATGAGGGTTATGCCCCCATACAATTCTTCTTGCCATTTTAGAGATCTTGAGAAGGATTTGAGAAAAGGGTTGTCTGGTTTACTTGTTGATTGGATTTTGAAGATTGGTTTCAAAAGAATTTCAAAGGTGAGTGGTTAAATGTCTTTTTAAAATATTTTTTATTTGTATACTAAATTGCGTTATAAATACTTACCTGTACTTGGCTTTAAATCGGACAAGTGATGTCCGGATTATTTTAAGTCAGACACGTGTTATCCGATTTAGTTTTAAACCTATCATAGTGTCGATCGGATTAAAGAGTTAGTGAGATTTTAAAATATATAAATCGGTCAAAGGTATTGAATGGAGAAGTAGGAATACGATCAAGGCTATCTGATTTAATTCAAGTCGGAATGATGTAATGTCCGGTTTAGATGTAAACTAGACAAAGCTTGATCAAATTAATTCTAAGTCTGTCCGGACTTGTAAATCGGACAAGAGGACTTGTGTTGTCCGGATTGATATATCGGCCAAGACATGATTGGAGATGAAGTCTGACCAAGTCTTTGTTGATCAAATTGTTAAGGTTGACCGGTTTAGTACTTTGACTAAAGTATTTGGTCAAATAAATCATCATTATAATATTATTTTATGATGATAAATAATGAGAATTTTGATAAAGCACTACAACAAAAACAAGTTTATAGGACACTTTTTTGGGACACTTTTCAAGACCCGTCCTTTAAAAGGACTAATACGACACATTATTTTATGAGTCCTATTTGATTTAATTTAATAGGACTCTTATTTTTGATGTCTTATTAAGCTCTCTTAGTGTCCTATCATGTACTATAATATTTCAATGTCACATTATTTTAGAGTCTAATAGGACATTTTTTAAGTGTTGTATTATTTAAAAGACTAATAGGACACTTTTAAGTGTTATATTATTTTAAAGACTAATAAGATTTTCTAGTGTTATATTTTTGTGGAAACTAATGACATTTTAAAGTGTCGTGTTATTTTTAAAAATTAATAGGACACTTTTGATTGTTGTATTAGTGCTTAAAAGCTAATAGGACACTTTTGATTGTTGTATTAGTGTTTAAAAGATAATATGACACTTTTAAGTATCCTATTAAAGTTTAAAATAATATAAATAATATTATATTTATATTTATTTAATTTAAAATTAATAAATATTTTTCTTAATTTAGTTTTAAAAAAGCCCAACATTAGATCCATCATTAATTAACAGTCCAATAAAAAATCTTTTAATTCTAAAAAGCCCAACATTAAATTAGATTTTGAGGGTTTGTAGAAAAATTCACCCAGCCTAAAAAAGAAGCAGCACACGCGTTCTCCCTAAAATTCACCATTTGCTTTGAAATTCTTCCATGGAAGTCTAATGGATCCTTCCTTCAAACAGACGATTGCATGTATATAGATTTCTCTCTTCCTCTCTATTTTCGATCTCTGGTTCTCAATCTTCTAATCCGTAACCAAGTTTTACGTCATTCGATTCGATCATATAGTTGGGGGATATTAGAAGAAACGTTTTCGGGCTACTACTCAAGCTCGTCTGACGGACCTTAGTCATCGGCAACCTCCAAAAACATCATCTCCRAGAGGAATAGAAGGAAGAAGTTGAATGATAGGCTYTTTGCACTTAGGCAGTGGTCCCTAATATTAGTAAGGTATGATTTGTTCCATATAATGCATTTTGTTTGCAATTTGTCCATGTTATCGTAAATAACACTTGTAATTTATAGATTACTTATGAAAAATGTAATGTTAGTAACTTTTAATTTGGATTTAGTGCTATACTTATTTAAGATATTGATTTTGGTTTGGATTTGGATTTGTACTTCAAATTTGATGATCATAACTTGGTCTCTACACTTTTTAAATATGGATAAGGCTTTGATAATCAAAGACGCAATTGATTATATTCAAATGTTGCAAGATCAAGAGAGAATGATCCAAGCGGAACTACTGGAGCTTGAGTCTAAAAAATTATAGCTGGAAAATTTGAATCTCGTGGGCAGTCTCAATGATCATGTTTTCAACTTTTGAGCATTCGCTGGATTTTCTGTATCGTAAAGCTATTCAAAGAAAAAAGTAAGATTGTTCGATCACACAACAACTTGGYGTTACAATTACATGTTTAGCTGGATACGCTGCTGGATCTGTTGGGACCATCATTTCGAACCCTGCAGACAATATCGTTGCTTCTCTCAATAACAAAAAGGCTGGTAGTCTGAAGCTGGTAAATCCTTTTTCTTTCATTTCTTCGATTATTTTCTTATAGTATCGTAAGTTAGTTGTTACTGGAACTGTAAGCAGGTTGGAAAATTGGATTGCGGAATCTATTTACAAGAAGTCTTCCTATCAGGATCATGCTCGTGGGGCCTGCTGTGACTTTATAGTGGCTATTCTATGACACCATCAAGGTGTTAAGTGGTCTGTAAGTGCAAACTTACCTACAACATTCAACATGAAATTGCTTTGTGATTAGATTTAAGGCAAAATATTTTTGGATACACCCAAAATTTGGATTGTTTGGAACTAACATAGTATGCCAAGTGCCTGGGATTTGTTGATGGTATTACTGCAGTGAAAGCACCCCTTGTACAACTATAATTTGGAGTGCTTGAAGTAGTTAGGGGTTTAGTTCCCATTTTGGTGTGTGAATGAAGAATCTTGGGTGCAAATAGATAGTGAACTAGTTTAGCAATGGCTTGTCTGCTTTAGAGTTTTTCATGGGGTYGGCTTAGCAGTACTCTTTTGGCTTAGCACTTCTATGGTAAGTCTACATTTATCTCATTCATTGCCATGTTCCAAATAGTTGCAACTGCATGCTTACAAGGCATTCCAGTCGACTCCCAGCTTCTACCCGAACAAACTCTATTCTTCAAATCCACTATGCATTGGTCCATCCATGAACCATTCACTTGGTATTGGTCCCCCCCTTCCAAATATAGCATCCAACATCTTAGTGGCCACTGGTGTGTAAGAGGACCATCAGCCTTTTGAATCATATTTTGTACAAACACAATTCTTTTCATCAGGTACCCTCTTATGTACTCGAACGTTGTGATAATTGGTTTGTCCCTAGCATCCGCTAGTTGTCTATTAAACACTTCACACAAATTGTTCAACAGGAAATCACACAATTCTTTTCATCAGGTACTCTCTTATGTACTCAAACGTTGTGATAATTGGTTTGTCCCTATCATCTGCTAGTTGTCTATTAAACACTTCACACAAATTGTTCAACAGGAAATCACTGTGGCATCTTCTTGAAATGTATGTATATACCAATGAGTTTTAGTAGAGTATTTTTGGTTGATGATTCTTTTGTAAAAAACTAGAAGAGAAACCATGTATATATATGTCTCTTTATCTGCAAACATACCCTCAACTCAACAACTCTTAACATGCATCATCACATAGAACACAATATAGAAACAAAATGCTGCAGGTTTATGAAACAGAAACAGAATGCTGTTTCAACTGGCTGTATAACTGTTGTTGTGTGCATAGTGTGTGTGGGTGCCAAAGCAACTTACTTTCTCTTTTTCTTTTTTTAAGTCATTGCTTTGGTTGTTTTAGTTTTGCAAAAGATCTGCATATGCTATTGGCCTAAATAGTAACATGTAGGTAGAATTAGGTAATTTTTATATGAAACTGGATACATATTGTGTATCATAAGTTAGATACGAGGCATGCTATAATGGTCTCTTTTCAAGTGGTGTTTTTAGCCTTAATGAATTAAGCTGTCACGTTTTGAGTCAATTTTTGTTTCAATTGTAGCTATGGTTAGTTAGGCTAATTGGAAAACTATGTTACAAGTTACGAGAGCAGGTAATTGGGATCCTTTAATTGTAAAGAGTATAAATATGGGTGAATTTGTCTGTAGATTGATGTGTACATGTATAAATAAAAGTCCAAAATTAAACTGATACAGTGAAGGTTTTGAAAAATAAATGTCATTGTATGTTGTACAACGACARTTTGARAAATAAATGTCGCCGTTATAGTGTTATGTTGACCRTTTGAAAAAATCAACGTCATCACAMGTCATGTTACACAGTGAGGGGTTGAATTGAATAATTTTATCCTTTTTTTCAGAGGGAAACTTGAGATATGAAAGAGTACAAAAATGGAAGAAAACTATGATGGGATAAATCTGCAGGAAGAAGAATTGRTGCAGGAAGAAAACTATGATGGTATGTAAAGTCTRTCTATTTTCTCCCATATTCATGTTTTTAACTTGGCTGCTAAATAATTTATAACAACTGGAATGCATGGTTGAGGTTTAAATATGTGCATTAATTATCTGTTTGTCTGCATTCAAAACATATATATGCAGATATGGTTGGTTGGTTGGTTGGTTGTTGAGTGTGCGTTTTATGTTAAAAACAAACAGTAGCGCAGCGGGGGATTTGGTAAACTGWAGKATATMTGGGTAATGGGCGCATTTCGGTTGTGACAGAAGACAGGGTCTTGGTGCCTTTAAGGTATGCATGCAAAGTCCTCCTTTCCGTTCCATTCCATTCCTAGGTAATCCTTAGCTAGTTAAACACTTTTGTAGTTGATCACTGGACGATCTTTCTCATTATGATTCATTTCCCTTTGATCTAACTTGGGGAATATGGAGTTGATGGGGTCAGGTTTAATTATTTATCTTACAAGATCATTATGGAACTTAATAAAATCTTATAATCTTGTTCTTCAATCACGTTTTTGTAGGTTGGGGATGTTGTTCATCATAAAGGAGGGAAAGTTTGGTTAGAGCATATGGATTGTTTATTACAATTGAAGACTCAACAAGTGTAGAATTTTTTTATTTTATAACTTCAAGCTCATATATCTGTTTTTTAATTGTAGATTGTGCATGACGAAGATTGATATCTCTCGTTTGTAGGACACAATAAGATTTTTTGTATTTGCGTAATTCTTGTTTAGTAGTTAGTTTTATCATGATACAACTTTGTGGTGGATACATAGCTTGGTAGTTGGTACTGATATAAGTACTTGTACAACTTCGCAGTTTGTTCTATCAAATCAGTTCGTAAAACTTTCATATATGCTTCTAAATGTAATAGTGCAGAAGAATTTTATAATTGGATGATGCGTCTCGCATTATAGTCATTTAGGACGCTTTTAGTGTTAATTATTATAGCCTATTAGGACACTTTTTTAGTATTACTTAGTTCACTTTATAGGACTCTAAAATTCGTTTCATAATTATATGACTTATTAAGACACATATTTTGGTACTATATAATTGTTTTAGCGATATTGAATTTCATCCTATAAAAGCATTTTTTGGGATGCCCATATTTGTTTTTAAATGTAAACATTTTGTGACAGCATAAAGTGTCCTATATTATAGTCTATTAGGACACTTTTTAGTGTTACTTAAACCATTTTATAGGACTATGGAATTTGTATCATAATCCTAGAGGTTTTTAGGACGCTCAAATTCATCTCATTAACCTAATACAACACCTTTAGATGAGACATACATAATTTTTGTTCTATAAACTTAGAAGTCCTATTAACTACCTTATTAGGACACTAATGAGGGTCCTATGTTACCCTTTTTGTTGTAGTGAAGATGATTTTGAACTGATTATATTCCATTAGGACATTTATGACTGCGGTCTGTTCTAATTGGAAATATTTTGTAAAATGATTTGATGAGGAAATAAAGGTGGCATATCAAGGAGAGGTGTACCATGGGATAAGGGTGGCATATCAAGGAGAGGTGTACTTTTGGATATAAGGGTGACATTTGTATGTGTGATGTGTGATATAACTCTTACTATTATATTGTTTAAGATTACTATGATTTTAAGTCTTTATTTCTTTGTGATTTAAAGATTTAAGATCAGGGTTCTTACTGGAAATCGTAGTCTGGATGTTATTGAGAAGATGATAACAGGTTTTTGGTCTGAAACTTTGAAAAAATATTGTTTTTAATTGAAAAGGTTTAAAAGTGGCATTATGTAAAACTTGGTTGGTTCAAACCTATTTGGGTTTGGGTATGTTATTTAAAAGTTGAGTGATTGGCTTTGGAATTGGAAAGGTATTGGTATTATGTTTTACTTGTTCATATATTTGTTATATATATGAAAAGTTGATTTAAATAATGTTTTAGTGATCTTCACCCTAGAATGACATAGAAAAAGGATTCTCACTAGACCTTCCAGTCTAACCCTCATTTTGTGATTTTAAATATGTATTGTAGGAGGTGCTGACGGTAAGGGGAAGGGAAAAATGTGATATTTTCCTATATGCATGTCTGTATGAAGATTTGCCCATGATGTATATAGTTTTGGTAGAAGAATGTTGATTAGTACAAGAAATGTATTTTGAATTTTTGGACCATGTATTATGTATGGTAGATTCTTGTACTTTTGGACGTGAATGCTGTATAAACATGTATTTCTTGTAAATGAAGTATGTGTTACATGCAATGTGTGGTATGGGGTGTTACAGAATAAGAATCCAAATGGAAAGACTATAAACGTAACCGTTTATAGAGGAATGACCGGCTCCCTGATGTACCTCAAAGCAAGCCGTCCATATATTATGTACTCTACTTGTTTACGTGCACAATATCAGTTTGAATCTAAGGAATCCCATCTGATTATTGTAAAACACCTCTTCAAATATCTGAAGAGAACTCCTAACTTGGGTCTTTGGTATCCCAAGGGTTCGAGTTTTGACCTTATTGGCTATTCAGATAGTGATTTTGTAAGTTGCAAAATTGATAGGAAAAACACCACTAGAGGCTGTCAGCTTCTAGGTTGAAAGTTGGTGAGGTGGACAAGTAAAAAAAGCAAAGTTCATTGTCCACATCAACTACTGAGGCTGAATATGTTGCTGGTGGAAGCTGTTGTGCACAAATTCTTTGGATAAAAAGCTAGCTCAATGACTATGATTTACAACTCTCAAAGATCCACATCTATTGTGATAGCACTAGTGCTATTGCTATTGCAAATAATTCTGTATTTTACTCCAAGACCAAACATATTGAGATCAAATATCATTTTAACAGAGATCATGTTATGAATGGTAATATTGAACTTTACTTCATACCAACTGAGTACTAGCTCGATGACCTTTTTACAAAGCCTCTTGATGAGACAAGATTCAACATCTTGATCAACGAACTTGGAGTGCTGAACGTTGAGGATTAACTCCTCCAGCTATAAGCAATACTCAGTAAGTGAAATGATTCAATGTTCTTACTCTATCACTGAAATCTTGAGTAAATGTATCTTCTCTCTCTCTAAGGTATGATTACTTATCTTCTTATAAAACTTAAAACTGTCAGTGAATCTTTCCATATCTAGTGATCAAACTGCTTTAAAAGAAATATTTTAGTGCTCTTTCTATCACTAGACCTTTGTAAGTAAGTATATCGTTAAGGTATATCTACTTGTCCTTTCTTAAAACAAAACCATCACTTAATCTTTTCTTAAATCAGTGATCAAAACGTTTTCGAAATAAAATCTCTTCAATGATTTTCTTTATCACTGAATCTTTTAAACTTATATCTTTTCTAAAAGATATTTTCTTAAAAACTGATTCTGAATATTCTATATTCAGTTATTATTTTCTGTTTTTAAAAGACTCAAAACATTTTTATTTTGTTTGAAAGAAAATGGAAATTGGGTCATAATTTATATGGCGTCATTTCTATTTTTAAATGTTATACGAATTTTTGAGACGCGCGCATCATTCTGACACACGTGGCCCTTTGGAATTCCATCCAATCATGGATGAAGATGTGCAAACCTTCATCATTGCACATTTTTTCAATTCATATTTCCCTCTCTCTTCTTTTCATTTCACTCTCCTCCTACCTATAAATATGAGATATCTTCTCTCATTTCTTCTTTACACTTACAAAATCTTGTTGAAACCTCTGCTCCCAAGAATTTCGCAAAGCAAGAACTCAAGAACTTTCAAATCCATTTCAGCCTTTCTATTCAAATCTCAGGATGATAATCTTCTTTCTTTATTTTGAATTGTTCTTCTTCTTCTTCTTTTATGAAACTCTTGTTAGATACTTTAAGAACTCGTTCTCTTGAAAGACTAACAAACATATTATTAACTCATTCTATTAATTGGTTATAATCAAGGTTTTAAAACACTTACTCTTCATGAAAAAAGCCCTAAATATTTTTTTGGTTTCTTGAAAAGAAGTTTTATCTTTCAAAATCTACAGTTTACATTTCTAACAAACCTGTATTACCTTCTATTTTCTCTTGCATAAATATAAATGGCAGCAATAAACGTGAACTTCTCTCTTGATGAAGTTTCCTTCAAGGCAAATAACCATGTTGCTCTTTTGGATATCCACATCAACAAACCCACTTGGAGGACGTTGGTAACTTCCTCAACAACTCCCCAGTCTCTCATGCACTAACCCATGAACTGGTCATGGTTGAAGAATTCCTTTAGCAGTTTCGGTTCACTGTTGAAGTGAAACAGGAAACTGACAAGACTGGGAACCAGGTGGAGAAAATCTCCTTCACCTTCAACACGATGACCGTCAGTTTTGAGGTTGCCACTTTAAGGACGACACTTCAACTACTTAAGGGTCCCTATGTTGGAACAAAAATATTGTATTCAAGTCCTGGTGCTTAAACTGTTTTAATATGCTTTGTAATAGTTACATATTGTTGTTTTCTTTTATAGTTTGTGTTTGACTTTCTTGTTTTAGCAGCTGCTATAAACAACAGTTTGGTAGTTTGTTGTTGGTTAATAGTTGACATAATTTATACATATACTTAGAGAGAGTATCTATGAGAGAATCTTGATCAAGAACTTGTATTACATTTGACATTAATGATATGCCGACTTATTCAAATCTTCATCTTGTTCTTGATCATTTCTAATTGAATTGATTGTTTAGACTTGAATTTGGGATCACAATTGGTATCACAGGTTCTAAACTGAATTGTTTAGAATCTAAATTACTAAACTCCGAGTTCTAGACTGATTTTTTTCTTGAAGTTTGCAACATTGAAGACTGAGTTCTAGACAGAAGTATCTAAAAATCTGTAAACATGTTCTTACAGATCTTCGTTCATTTCTCCCATTATGTTTTCGGAATAATCTGATATGTACATCACTCCTTAATTGTTCATGTACTTAATTGAAAAATTATTTTTGATCAATTTTCATCTAATCAAATGTACTTCATTGCAATATTATTTTTGATCAATCATTTGTGATCAAATAAGCTTATAATGTTAATTTTAGGAGGGACTAGGAGCTTAACATAAATACCTCTATGGATTGTCAGAACCGACAACCCTACCCAAGAGGACATCTATATCTGAGTGAGCTAAAATGCAAAATGGGTTTGTGTGTAGAGCTTAAAATGTAAATGAGAAGGATAGTTGATACGAGCTAAAAGAATTGACGAGAGTTGTGTCCAGGATTAAAATAATAAAAGAATCCTCTTTTATCCAATATAATCTGGGAAAACCACACAATCTATTAGTTCTTAATTCTTTGGAGACTAATATTGGAAAAGGCAAGCTCATGCCAATTCTTGGCATAACCCCACCAGCTACTCATTTGTCTCTCAAAAGATAAGTATTTCATTAACACTTGGGGCATGCAACGCATTATCTATCAGTTTCTCGTTTGGAGATAACTGATATTGAAAAAGAAGGATATATGCCCCCCTCCTTCAAATTTTGTTGATCACAAATTGAATCAGATAAATTTGTATACTCCACACTGTTTATCTTTTAGAGCCTTAACTGAAACATTCGTTGCTTTATCATTTCTCCACTGCACAAATTTACAAAATATTTTTTATTTTGTCATAACATTCATAAATATGCTTCTTAAAGCTACCAATGATTGAATGGAAGTCCTGGTGAGATGAAAATTAAAAACTCTCATATATGAAGTACATT